AAAAAAAAAATTCCTATTTATTTATAGACTACTCTAAAAACAGGGACAATGACAAGTCGTGTGTCTAGCTGATACACCTTCATAAAAATCTAAAATTTGTTTGCCTTATCTAACATTATCCCTATTCAATTTGTTCAGCTTTTTAAAAACTAAAAAGACATTTAGAAAATAAATCTGGTTTGTTGATTTGAGAAAAGTTGGAGAGAAAAATGATCCCTACCTGTGAGAGGTTCCACTGGGGCTGTTGAGCTTGTGGCAAGCCAAACTTACTTTGGGGTGCACCCATCTGTCCAACCATTCCTCCCTGGGGGCCAACAACATTTTGAGGAAGTGGCATCACACCAGTTTGTGCATTTCCCATAAACCCATTGGGCATGGGCATGCCCACCATCATGCTTGCATTTTGTCCCATCACGTTTCCGATAAGGCCAGGAGCTGCAGGCACGGGTACCCCCATTGATGGAAAACCTTGAAATGCAGTTGGTGCTTGTGAGGTAAATGGTATATTTGTGGGTCCCATAAAGACACCTGCATCATAAGAACCAAGAAAAGAAAATGAATGAAGAACACAAGGCTATTGCTGATAGCTGCATGCATCTCCATCGTCATATAAAATGATTACCATCTTTCTGAACTACTCATAACAAAAACTTTAATTCCAGTCTGGCTGCCCCAACTATTCAGGCCAACCCACACCTAAACCCTTAGATCTGGTTACTTCCAAAACGCAGACAAATCAGTTACTAACTTGAGCAAATTTAATTAAGAACTGTAACTCTTACGTACAATCACACAAAATATCTTCCATTTTGAAGACCAAACTACATAACATGAGATTAATGTTGTTTCTGTTCATCTGTACCCCTGGCTTCTAATACCAAATAGGCAAGAGTTGACTATATCTAGTTTTAATGGAAGTAGTTGAGTTATCATGTAATTTCAGTCCATACGTGAAATGCGGCTCATTATTTTGCCCCTTAGAGGGGATGGCCGTGTCATAATCCCTCCTCCATTCTCCTCTTGGGATTTTGGGCATGCATGCATATGGCCCAGTTTGAGTTTTAAGCCACCGGGTTGAGGACTCGAGCCCGCGGTAAACTATGTAGGAGTTCAGTGACATAACTATTATACTATTTGCTGGTACTACAGCTCATTATTTTAGAGGAAATGGTCTGACATTAAAACTGTATATATGCTAATATTTCACTAATTACCAAAAAAGTCAAAGCTTTTTTGAAGTCCATGCAATAATTCAGACTACCTATTGTTTACCTATAGACAAAATGTACTGTACACAAAGTTATAAACTTCATGTAAATCAAATTTCAATAATTCTTCAAAGATAATCTATGTCCTATAAGCTCTTGAAACAATATTAAATGATATGTGAACATCTTGTTAATTTTAAATGAGTAAAGTTTTGTAAATTCTGTAAAAAAACAAAAACAAAAACAAAACAGGGATTTGATTGGGGCAAAGGAGACAAGAAAGTCTGCAAGAATGCTTCTGGGAAGATTTTCCTCACTTTCAAAAATGACCAGATGGTAGGAACACTTCCTTTTTCTGTCTTGAGATTCCATTCTGTGAGTATACGATGTTGCAGCCATTTTGTAACCAGGAGGGTACAAACTTGAGCACGGTGGAACAAGAAGGAGGGTCCTTGGTGGAGTCACTGACCTTCCATGCTAAGCCCAGGACAATCCCTACTTCCAAGCTTCTTATTATGAAAGATAATAATAATAATTCCTTCTTAACACTGCCTGCAATGAGTTTTCTATTTCTATGGGAAAACTGATCCTAATTAATACATTGTTCAGCTTCCCAAAAGAAAGATGTCTTTCCAGGGTCATTCTGAAAATAATGTAGATGTGACCAGTGGTCCAGGTAACCTAGGGATGTAAGGAGTTCCCAGGATATGGGACTTTTCCATGTAAGACCTGGAAAACTTTATTCAAATTGAGACAAGATGATCAACTTAGATAATGAAATTCCATTTCTACCATTATAACAGACATAGTTAGCCAATTAAGATATCTTCATCTGCTAAACACAGAAAATGGTGGCTATGTGACTCAAATGGTGATGACGTTTGCCATTATGCCCTTCCAAGAAGCCCATATTCCACCTGCCAGCTCGGTTCTCTGGCCCCTCCTCCGTAGACACAGACGGATATGATAGAGATGTTTGCAATCATTGTATTATTATTCTTACAATGAGACTGTACTATTTTTGCAATTATTTGTACACTCCAAAATAAGGTCATTTAGAGTTGAATGCAGAAGAAGATGAATTCCATTCAGTAAAAACTTTGTGACTGTCACAGGAAGAGCCATTCAGCTAGAAACCTAATTGGTACTGAAATGAAACACTTTCCAGTTGCGAAGTGATGAGACCCTGCTGAGGAGGCCTCACATAGAAAGAAAGGAAACAAGGAAGAAAAGAAGGAGCGATGAAGGCAGGGAGGGAGGGAGAGAGGAAGGGAGGAAAGAAAAGACATTCTAAATGGGAGAGAGCTAAGAGAATGAAGTAGGTACTAAAAAGATTCAGAGTAACACATTTTTAAAAAAGATTTATTCATTTTATGTATTCATTCATTTATTTATTTTAATTTGACCAGAGAGGGAGAAAGTGAGAAGGTGAGAAAGCAAGCCACAGGTCTGGGGCTTGAGCCGTGGTCAGCCATGTGGGAGTGTCCAGCATCTTAACCACCACGCCACCTGCTGATCCCAGATTAACACATTTTCATTGCTGTTTTTAGACTAGTTACCTAGGAAGTATACAAAGTGTTAGTACTTATCCCTTTGGAATTTGAAAATGAAAATGAGTAATCTTAAATAAGACAATAGGTTTGGTACTGAGATAAAATAAGTAATTTTTTTTAGAGAGTTTTACTATAGGGTGTGTGTACTCTCCAGAGACACAGAGAGAAACAGAGAGAGGGAAAGGGAGAAACCACCCCACCGGCGGATGACCACACTGCAATCCCTTCTCCTCCATTCTCCTCCTGGGATTTTGGGCACACATGTACATGTGCACGGTGTGCTTTTCAAGCCTCTGGATCTGGGACTCAGACTGTGGTTGAACACGTGGGAGTCCAGTGACTTAACCACTACACCCCCTGCTGGCCCCCATAAGTAAAATTTTTCATTTAAAATTAAATTAATATTTGTATTCTAAGAGAATGTATTATTTAAATAAAACTTGAGGTAAGTTTTAGATTTTTTTAATGAAAAACATAGTTGTCATTTGGAATAGGTTATTGCTATGATTTAGGCCAAAGTTTCTAAAACTGTCCTTGGAAGATATGTGATCCATGTTCCATGGAAATAATGGATGCCGATGCTATTTTTCCTACCGAAATTTGTTCAAGAAAAACACTTATGTAAAAAATCAACTCAAAGATATTGGGCACTAACCTGTCCCTAATTAAAAGAGCTGGAAAGATCCCCAAGGACATTCGCTCTGTACTTTAAGGCAGGGGCAGTATTTACCAAGTGGCCTGTGAGCTGGTGGCAGCCCCTGAGAATCACCTCCACGACTTCCACTCTTACCAACAGAACCATGGCTTTGCTCAGGGCGCCCAAGGGCCCAGCCACAAGGCTTGCTTTTTCTTAACTCCTTTGTAGCTGGTAACAGTAACAGTTTTGCTGAGTGAGATATAAGAGGACATCTACTAAATCCACTTCCATAAAGATGTGATTTTACTGGTGACCAGGAAAGACATCTGATTGCCACCCTTTTCCTTTTATCCTTGTTCCCTTTCCTCCTGCCTGAGACACAGATGTGATATCTGGAGATGCAGCAGCCAATTTATGACCATGAGGACAAAAGTCACATCCTAAGGATGGTGACCCTGGGTTCACGGGTGACACTGGGGTCCTTGATAACATCTTAGAGTCATTGCAGCAGCCAAGACTGCTCATCTCTAAATTTCTTATTGTAAGAAAACGAACAGAGCCAGCCTGTGACATGGTAGTCAAGGCAACTGGATCCCACATGATCAACTGCATAGTTTGAGTCCTGGGTCTGGCAGCTTGAAAAACACACCTGGTGTGTATGCATGCATGTCCAAAATCCCAAGAGGAGAATGGAGAGGTGATTGCAGTGTGGCCATAACCCTAGGAGGTGCTTTCTTGCTTTCCCTCTCTCTGTCTCTCTCTATAGTAAATTAAAAAGAAAATAAATAAATAAAAGAGACATGCTATTTAGTTAAGCCATAGTTGTCAGACTCCTATTCCATGCAGCCAGATGTATTTCTAATATATACCATCTATGATTTATTACCAAAAATGTAATGTATCTTGGCACATTTCAGCATATGTTTATTATTTTAAGCAATGTCTATCAAATATAAACAAGTATCAACACTAACTTGTTCCCCTTAGGTCTACGGCTGACAGTAGAAAGCTTTGAATGAAAAGAAGGTCCTTAAGGTCCAATGGTATCTGAACCAAATACAAATTTGTAATCCTTTACATTGAAGATGAACGATCTGAGCTTCCGCTTTTTAAAAGGAAAAACGAAATTTAGATATACATTGTCCGAAATGAAACAATGAACACTATGTGGAGTCAAGGGCACAAATACCACACGGCATGCAGCTCCCATTCTTCCTCCTTCACTACAGGGTGTGCGGCACAGCGATGTTTCAGTGCACGACATTGAAAGCAGAGACCCGAGACTGATAGTTCTCTCCACCACAATTGGTGCTGTTTCCAATATAGAGACAGGTGACTTAAAACACACACACACACACACACACACACACACACGTACTGCAGTCAGTGTGGTGGTGAAGGCAACTGGATTCCACATGGTTGATTGTGTGGTTTGAGTCCAGGACCCAACAGCTTAATAAAAACACCAGAGCACATGCGTGTATGCCCGAAGTCCCAAGAGGAGGATGGAAGAGCAGCGATTTTGGCATGGCCATCCCCCCTGAGGGTGCTTTCTCACTCATCCCCCTTCTCTCTCTCTCTAGCTAGTGTATGAACCCTGTAGCAAATTTTTAAAATACTAATTTAAAAAAAAAAACACAAAATCTTTAAAACATAAATGTTGTAAGAGCCACAAAATATATTTTTAAATTTAAAACAAATACATAAAAGACCAAAAATTGAAAAATCTCTTTTTTATAACAACTTGTGAAATAAAAATAAGAATTATTTCATTTCAATTTTTTTTCTTAAGGAAATTGATCTGCATAACCCTTTCCCCTGCCCCCCTTTTTTTTTTCTTTTCGTTTCTGAAGAGACAGAGATAGAAAGTGAGAAATCACCCCACAGAGGGGATGGGCACACCTCAATTCCTTCTCCTCCCTTCTCCTCTCAAGATTTTGGGCACACATGCACACGTGCCTGGCATGAGTTTTAAACCTCCAGGTCCAGGGCTGGAACGGTGTTTGACTACCTGGGAGTCCAGTATGTAACCATTTTACACCATCCACTGGTCCCTCCCTGCCTTATTAAATACCAGATTACACTGCAGCTGATTTCTGTCAATACTTCATCATTTTAAATGCATTCCATTGTCAGGTCGAGTAAGTTTGGGAAACTCATCCTAAACTGATAGATTCCTATTCTAGACCTAAATATAAATGTTTACAAACTATAGTCCAAGAATAGGCATTCATGTGTCAGGAAATCCAGGCTAGCATTCATAAGAACTTGTGCTTTGTCATTCTTACTCAGCTGTATTTTCTGTTCTTTTCTTTTTTTTCTTTAATTTGCTACAAGGCACATGTACTCACCAGAGAGAGAGACAGAGAGACAGTGAGTACCCCCCCGCCGGGGGGATGGGGGCAGTTGGCCATGCACAATCCCTTCTCCTCCATTCTGCTCTCAGGATCTGGGGCAGGCACACTCATGCCTAGCATGTTTCTGAAGCCACTGTGTCTGGAATTAGAACTGCAAAGTAGACCATTGGTATCTATTCTAGCTGCCTTAACCACCACACCACCAGCTGACCCCCAACATTATTTTCTTTATCATCAAAAAAAGAAAAAAAGAAAAAGAAAGAAAATGGGACCAGCAGTTGGTGAAATGGCTATGTTGCTGGACTCCTATGTAGTTGACCATAGTTCAAGTCCCGGATCTGGTGGCTTAAACTCATGCCAGGTGCGTGTGCATGCACAAGATCCCGAGAGGAGAATGGAGGAGAAAGGATAGTGGCATGACCATCCCCTCTGGGTGATTTCTTTCTTTCTGTCTCTCTGTCTCTCTCTGTCTTTCTGGTGAGTGCACGCGCCCTATAGCGAAAACCTCTCCAAAAAAAATCAGTTTCCAAAAGCAGGTCTTGTTCATTAAGAAACATCCAAATGATGTAGAAGTTTCTAAAGCCCTTCCAGTTGGACTGTAAACACTGCGAAGGCAAGCCTTGCCCATTTATCCAGTTCCGCCTCTCCAGTCCCTAAACATCACACAGCAAGGACTCAAGGTGACAGCACGCACCTCCCCCCCTACACCCCGCACCCTTTCCACTTCCCAGAAACAAACGTGGTTTGCAGAGTTTCACACAGTTTTAAAATTTTATAATACTCATAGACTTACATAAAAATTGTAAAGATGATACAAAAAATTCTCATATGCCCACACTCATTTTCCCTATTATTAACACCTTAGGTTAATACGGTATATTTGTCACAATTTAGTGACCAGTACCAAACTCTTTTACTTTTGAGAGGTTTTTGCTATAGGGCACGTGTGCCTGCCAGAAAGACAGAGAGAGACAGAGAGACAGAAAGCGAAAAGTCACCCCCCAAGGGGGATGGCCACGCCACAATCCCTTCTCCTCCATTCTCCTTTCAGGATCTTGGGCACACACGCACATACGCCCAGCGTGAGTTTAAGCCACTGGGTCCAGACCTCGACCCATGGTCAACTACTGGGGAGTCCAGCAACATAGCCATTATGTTAACTGCTGGACCCTCGATACCTTTTTTAGAGAGATTTTTGCTATAGAGTATATGCACTCACTGCAGACAGAGAGAAAGTGAGAAATCCCCCCACCCCCACCCCCACCCCGGGGGATGGCCACACTGCCAATTCCTTCTTTTCCATTGTTCTCTTGGGTTTGGGTGCATACATGCCTGGTGCAAGTTTCAAACCACCAGGTCCAGGACTCAAGTCACGGTCAGCCATGTGGGAGCCCAGCACGTTAACCACTACACCCCCTGCTGGCTCCCATGATTATTATTAACTAAAGTCCACACTGTATCCACATTTCCTTAGTCTTTCCTAATGTTCCGTTCTGTCCCAGGGTCCCACCCAGGATACACTCTGCATTTAATCAGCATGTCTCAGAGGCTGTGACAGGTTCTCAGATTTCCCTTGTCTTTGATGGCCCTGTCACTTTTGAGGAATATTGGTCATGTGTTTTGCAGGCTGTCCCTCTGCTGAGATGGTCTGCCACTTCTCTCATGAGGACACAGGACTACGGGTTTAGGGGAAGAAGCCATGGAGATACAGTGAGTACTGTTGGGACTGGTAGGTGGTCTAGGGGTTAAGGCACTGATTCCCACATGGCTGACTGCAGTTCAAGTCCTGGGCTTGGCAGCTTGCTTTCTCATTCTCCCTCTCTCTCGCTCTCTCTCGCTCTCTCTCTCTCTCTCTGTCTCTCTCGCTGGTCAAATTGAAGAATAGTAATAATAAATAAAATAACATTTTAAAAATTCTAGAAAAATAGACTATACTCTTTTAAAATAAAAAAAGAGTACCTGTTATCAGCATGACCTCACCATCGATGTTTGCCTTGCCTCCTATGTAAATTTAACCATCCCTCATGTAGTACCAAACGGGATCCCTTTGCCTTTCATGTCAAAACAGGAATGTGGTTCCAGTTCAAACAGCTGGCGTCCCGAGTTAGCTTGGTCTTCAGCAACCTAAACACAGAGATGATTCAGACGTGTGACCTTCACTCTGGTCCGGACGTGGGAGGAGGGTGTGGGTGGAGAGGAGTCGGTAACCTGCCCACTCTGCCACATAGCAAGCCTGCAGGGCTACTTGCCAAAGGCCAAAGTCAGCTGCCAAGCAGGGCCAAATGCCCAGTCCTCTTCCTCTAGACCAGGGATGCCTCTTCCCGGTGCAGCGCCCTCCCTGCGAGGACCTTCCTGGAGACAGTGACTCAGCCTCCTGCACGCATGGCGCAGTTAGAGTCCAGGAAAGCAGAAAAGGAAAGAAGGAAACAGGGATTCAAGCTGAAAATGTCTAACCTTCCCCTATTACAATGCTAGGCCTTGCTTGGACTCTCCTTGGCTTTGTTCAAACTCATCTGAGCAAGAATGCACTTGGATGAAATTAGAATTTGAAGGGTTTTTTTTCTCCTTTAGTCTGACACATAACCAGGTCAAGTAGCCAGTCCTAAAGTCATCTGGTCTCTGGTCTCCTTCTCCCACATTCTGCACCCAGTCCTTGAGCAGATCTCTCTGGCTTTGCTTTCCAAATGTGTTCAGCCTTGAACTGTTTCTTACTAACTCCTGTGCCAGCAACCCTGACCTAAGTCACCATCTTCTTTCGCTTAGATAATTACCTTTGCCTTCTCCCTGCTTCTGTTCGTGAATCCTCCTTCAGTCTTACTCCTTTGAAATGAGCCACGCAGCCCCAAAACCCTACAGTGGCTCTGCATTTCATTTGCAGGGAAAGTCCTTACGAGATCTCCCGTGAGGTCTTTCCAAGCCTCTTGACCACAGCGCCTGTTCCCTCGTTTCACTCCAACCACTGCCCTCCTTGCTATTCCTCACACGCCAAGCACACGTCCAGGTTAAGTCTAGCTGTTCTCTGTGCCTGGAATATTCTTTCCCCAGATAGAATATTAACCTCCTCACCTCTTCCAAGCTTTCTCCCAAATCTCACTTTCACAAGAAAGCCTACCCCGAGTCCCGGTTTAATACTGCGGATTTTCCGTCCCTGCACCTTCTGTTCTCTTCTTTTCTCCGTAGCACGTACCCCTCCCCAGACCTGCTAGCTAATCGACTTTATTAGGCTACTGCACACTGGTCTCCCCAGCTAAAATGGAGCTCCATGAGGACAGTTACTGTCAAACACTTTTCCCACTATTGTTTCTAGTGTCTGGAGTAGTGCACATGACAGGCACTCGATAAATATTTATTGAAATCATTTGTTGAATTAATGAGTACATGAATTACTATTTGTACAGGGGTACAGGATCAGAGTTCTCTTTCTAGGATGAGCATGTCCCAAGTAAATATTTGTTGGGCTAACTAAATTTTCACTGCCTGGCTTTTATTGATAGTACTTCGGTACACTGGCATAGAGAGCATTTTCTGCAAATGTGACATATGAGAAACTCATAATTGCCTTTTCCTTAATGTCCTAGATGTTAGTTATCTTTTTGATTATTGTTATGAACTCATGCTTTTGCACAGAAATATTTTTATTTTTGGAGAGACGTTTTTGCTATAAGGTGTGTGCACTCACCAGAGAGACAGAGAGATAGAAAGTGAGAAATCATCCCAAGGGGGGTTGGCCACACCATAATCCCTTCTTCTCCATTCTGCTCTTGGGATTTTGGGCACTCACACACATACACACACTCACCTGGTGTGAGTTTCAAGATGCCAAGTCCAGGACTTGAACCATGGTCAGCCATGTAGGAGTCCAGTGATGTAATGCACCTTCTGTTCTCTTCTTTTCTCCGTAGCACGTACCCCTCCCCAGACCTGCTAGCTAATCGACTTTATTAGGCTACTGCACACTGGTCTCCCCAGCTAAAATGGAGCTCCATGAGGACAGTTACTGTCAAACACTTTTCCCACTATTGTTTCTAGTGTCTGGAGTAGTGCACATGACAGGCACTCGATAAATATTTATTGAAATCATTTGTTGAATTAATGAGTACATGAATTACTATTTGTACAGGGGTACAGGATCAGAGTTCTCTTTCTAGGATGAGCATGTCCCAAGTAAATATTTGTTGGGCTAACTAAATTTTCACTGCCTGGCTTTTATTGATAGTACTTCGGTACACTGGCATAGAGAGCATTTTCTGCAAATGTGACATATGAGAAACTCATAATTGCCTTTTCCTTAATGTCCTAGATGTTAGTTATCTTTTTGATTATTGTTATGAACTCATGCTTTTGCACAGAAATATTTTTATTTTTGGAGAGACGTTTTTGCTATAAGGTGTGTGCACTCACCAGAGAGACAGAGAGATAGAAAGTGAGAAATCATCCCAAGGGGGGTTGGCCACACCATAATCCCTTCTTCTCCATTCTGCTCTTGGGATTTTGGGCACTCACACACATACACACACTCACCTGGTGTGAGTTTCAAGATGCCAAGTCCAGGACTTGAACCATGGTCAGCCATGTAGGAGTCCAGTGATGTAACCATTATGCCATCTGCTGGTCCCCAGAAATGGTTTTTATTCTTCTTGCTTGTAAAAATATGTATTTGTTTATCTATTTATCTATTTCTTCTATAAGTGAGAGAGAAGGGGAAACATGCCCAATAGGTCTTGATGCCACGATCCACCCTAGCATCAGCCATCCCTGGATCATGGGCACACACATCCTGGGCATGCTCAGGGAGGTCTCCGGACATGAACTCAGAACGCTTCCATGTGGGTCAGCACTGAAGAACATCACATTTTGCTATTGTCACTGTCCAGTGCTGAGTTTTCCTTTTTAATATCCAAATTGTCACAATCGGGCCAATGAGAGTCCCAGAGATCTTTGTTATTTCACAACAATAAAATTCTCTAACCCATTCCTACTTTCTTTGCCCCAAACATAGAGTCAACCATTCTTCAAGGAGACTCAGGTTTTTTCAGTAGAAAACAGTATTAAAGGCTGAAATCTGCTACTGTAGGTGTTCATATCTGATTGTTCCCTGTGAGTACAAGTGGAGGCAACATCACTACTGAATCACTTTATTGACAAATTATATATATATGTGTGTGTATATGTATATGTATATGTATATATATATACATTCACATTACATATATATTTTTTAATTGGCTAGAGAGTGCAGAGGCAAGAGAAAGTGAGAGAACCTCCCCAAACCCTTCACAGGATGGTCACACCATCCCTTTCCTCCACCTCCCCCTTGAAATTATGAGCACACATGTGCAGCTGGATATTTTTCAAGCCACCAGGTCCAGGTCTGGAACACCACGGTCAGACATGTGGGATCCAGCACCTTAACCACATGCTACCAGCTGACCCCAGAGCAATGTGAGTGTGTGCGTGTGTATTTTTTTTTTGGAGAGATTTTTTGCTATAGGGCGCGTGCGCTCACCAGAAAGACAAAGAGAGACAGAGAGACAGAAAGTTAGAAATCACCCCCCAGGGGGGATGGCCATGCCATCCCTTCTCCATTCTCCTCTCGGGATCCTGGGCACACACACATACGCGCCCGGCGTGAGTTTAAGCCACCGGGTCCGGGACTCAAACCAAGGTCGGCTACATGGGAGTCCAGCGACATAGCCATTACGCTAAATGATGGTCCCAAGCAATGTATATTTTTAAGAGGTGTCATTAGTCAAGGTTCAGTCAAGAAACCAGAACCCACACCAGGAATTACCAACACAGGAGATTTACGCAAGGATACTACAAAAAGCTTGTGGGGAAATGGAATTTAAGTATGTGTATATGGGCCAGCTATAGTGGCATGTTGTTTAAGGTGGCTGAATGCCACATGGCTGGACATGCAGTTTGAGTCCTGGACCCAGTGGCTTGAGAAAACAAACCAGGCATGTGTCCATGCATGGCCAAAAATATCAAAAGAAGGGAGAGATGGAGAAGGGATTGTAACATAACCATTCCCTGTGGAGGTACTTTCTCATTTCCCTCTCTGTCTCTCTCTGCTGAGTGCACGTATACTCTGGTCATTTTTTTTTAAAGTCCAGTTGGACCAGCAGATGGCGTAGTGGTTACCCCACTGGACTCCCATATGGCCAACAGCAGTTCAAGTTCCGGACCTGGTGGCTTGAAAATCACACTGGGCCTGCCCAAGATCCCGGGAGAAGAATGGAGAAGAGATTACAACATGGCTATGTCCCCCGGGGGTGACTTCTCACTTCCTCTCTCTCTGTCTCTGTCTCTGTCTCCCTCTCCAGTGAGCACACACACCCTATGGCCAAAACCTCTAAAAAAAAGTACAAGTTTATTTTGGTGCAAAAGTTTTTAAATTTATGCATAGTTTTTTCATAATACATTCACCATAAACTTTTGAAGACTCCCTTTTACAGATAATTGATTACAAAGGTGTTAGTAAAAGGGTATGCAAAAGGGTATGCCGAGGTAAACTAGAAGGGAGCAGCTAGCCCTCTAGGATTGGGGAACAAAAGGGAAGCAGAGGTGTCGCCGTGCCAGGACCTGAGAGGACAGGCGCCACAGGGCTGATGCCCAGACCGCTCCCTCCGCACCCGCGCATCCGTCTGAGCAGGGCGCGAGGCCGGCACACTTGATATTCCTGTCAGAGGCCAGGCATCACTCCCGCCTTTTGGCTGCTGTAAAGGTGCTGTTGTGAGCATGGCGTACATTTGTCTTCTCTGTTATAATCTTACCTTTCTCTTTTCTTTCATGATCCTAACATTTTGACCCCCATTAGCATTTTGATCCTCATTCTGCAGGAGTAGTCCTTCACGTGGTCAGACCTGGCACTGTCTTTCATCCAAAAATAGCATTTTCAAGTAAAGCAGCCTACCTACCATGTAATTTCTTTCTTTCTTTCTTTCTTTCGTTCTTTTTTTTTTTTTTTTTTTTGTTATTTTTGAGGGTTCTTTTTTTGTTATTTTTGAGAGGTTTTTGCTATAGGGCACATACGCTTGCCAGAAAGACAGAGAGAGACAGAGAGATAGAAAGCGAGATATCATCCCCCAGGGGGGATGGCCATGCCGCAATCCCTTCTTCTCCGTTCTTCTCTCTGGATCTTGGGCAAGCACGCGCATGTGCCTGGTGTGAGTTTAAGACACCAGGTCCAGAACTTGAACCATGTTTGACTACATGGAAGTCCAGCGACATAGCCATTATGCCAACTGCTGGTCCCCCTACCATGT